TCCGCCGTCTCATAGGTACGTCTTTGTGGGCGGGGAGAGAGTGTCATTACAATAATAGTGAAATTATTTTTAAAATCGACCATGAGTCCCGAATTGTTAAGAAAGTAAAAAAAACACAATTTGTTAGTACGATCTAATACAAATATATTTTTATTATTCTACGCAATAAAAAATAAATTTTGAAAACCCCATTATTTTATGACAATACTAATAAGAAGCAGTGATAATAAACATTTTTAAGACAATTGTTTTGGGGAACTTATATTTTTGGGGTGTACATAACCAGGTGACCACAATCTGTGCACGCCTGTGGGATTTACATGTATTTTATAAGTGTTTAACATTTTGTCTTTCCTTGATATTCTACTGTTTTATGTATGTATAATACTATGAACATATTTTAAAAGATTGTACCATTTTTTTTATTCTAATTACCTGATATTTACATCTGTTGACTCCTATTTTGGTGTTTTTCACAGCCTGATTTAGATCCCCGTTACCCTATAACATGAACACTTCAATATTGCATTTTCATTCGGGTCGATCGGCGTTCATATTTCGTATCTCGTTTTATTCACTATATATTTTAATATAATACTATTATGTATATTTTAATATTTATGTGCACATCAAATTTTTGGACTGAACGCGACAGATGAAATTTAGGTGTAAATTGATTAAAATTGTCACTCGGCAATGGTCGGGACAGTGCGTACAGTTGATAGAACTGAAATTGCATTAATTGGATTATTTGTATTTTACGTCCATCTCGGAGTGCACTGTAGTTATTTTCGATGGACTGAAATAAATTATTAGCATATTATGATATATATTTATTAATTATTGAGTACAGCGTAATTCTTTTAACAGTATAAAATCAAGTGTGAATTTATTTCAAAATTGTTATTTATTTATTTGGAACATTTTAAATACCAGTACAATCAGGCATAATATTTTATATTATTCGCCAAGCTCTAAGATTTTCAGTAAATCCGTTTACCTATATTAGTTGAAATTAATTAAATTCATTGAAATACCTTTGGAATAATGTCGATCTGTAAAATATATATATCGAATACCGAGTACACAAACAAATATTTATTCTTATAAATAAGCTCTTTTTAATGTTTAAAGTTTAGTTGTGTAGGAGGTGAAGTAACAATACTCTCAATGTCACCCACGAAATATAATAATCAATGAGAAAGTTAATACTTACTATACTTTTAATTTCATAAAAATATACACTCAATTTTACTGTTCAGTGAATCACGTTGTAAATTATTGTCTTGCGACTGCGTCGTTAATCGATTTATTGTTTGTCGTTCGTTGTTGAGGTGTCAATTACGGAAAGGAAAAAACTACTACACGATAGGGGATAAAACGTTATATATTATGTCACTGCGAATGTTCGCAATTGGTGAGTGCCGACAGTCACCAGTTAATGTCGTCATACACCAAAGTCATTGGTGAATGTTGGCGTATTGATTACATTTGTACTGTTTGTAAACATTTACTAGCGAATGTCGACGTTTATAAACCGATATTGGTGAATGTTGGTAATGCCGATGTTATTTAATCTGATCTCGTCCAACATTCTAGTACCTACCTATTAAATAATATACAAGGTATTGTACAAGTTGATCATTTCAATAAAATGTTCAACTATCTCACCCTGCGTCTTATTATTATATCTGGATAACCGGCATGCCATATAATGCCTCTTTAACATTTTTTATGATATTGTCATACGACGTAGTTATAGTGTTATCGTAGTATAGTGATTTGCACAATAACCAAAACATCTATTTTTTAATGGAAAACATACGCGAAGTATTTTATAATAAATTTAATAATTTAGCATCTAAAAAATTAGGTACCGAAAATTGTGTTATAAATAAATTGTACACCAGAAACCAATTTTTAGTGTGTAAAGAAAATTAAAAATCAATCACTGATGTACATGTGGATCAAAAAAATGTCCTCAAGGCAAGCTTCTGCATCAAATTCATCAACCGGTGGGCAAGGGTATAACACGATGTAATTGCAAACCGTAACCTATGCCAACATTAACCAAAATCCTAATGTAAATGTCAACATCCACTAGTACATGTCTATATTATCTTAATTTTTCAACATTCACCAATTTATTAGGTGCATGTCAACATTCACTAGGTGATTGTCAGCACTCACCAATTGCGGACATTCACAGTAACATATAATATAAGATATTATTTTTTATGGAATTCAGAGGCGTATTTGTTACGACGATATGCGTGTACAGGGGTTGTTTTACTGTGTACAGCCGTTTTACTGTGTATATTTTTCTACTATAACTGGGGATATAGACATTTTGATTTTTACACCAATAGTTAGTTTCTACATAAAAGTATAATAGTTAATGACGGATACAATGATTTGAAATATTTCATTTTTATGTTCCACTTTAATCTCGATTTTCGTTTTTTTTAAACGTATATTAAATCTCTGAAACTCTTTAAAATCAAAATTATAAATTCTATCCTTCAAGTACAATAATTTAAAGGATTATTTTTTTTTATTTACTGTCGTTATTTCTGATTTAATTGTTTTGGGAGTTGCCCATTAATAATATTTTAATATTATCTTCTCCACGTATTTAATAATATATTTGCAATTGAAGAATAATCCAATTTAAAAAAAAAATCAAAATAGGTTGGAATATGAATGTAAGGTAATTTCCGTTTTTAATAGGTTTTTAAAATTCCTTCAATAAACATTTTTTTTTTATTTTAGAAACAATTAAATTGTTATATTTTACCTAATACAATTATTATTTTGTATTTATGTTCAAATGGTTTTTAAATTATTGTTGTAATTATGGTTTAAAGATAAAAAAACAACTATACGAAATATATAGGCATCATAAATCATAATATAATTAAACAGAATAAAAATCATATATATAGCATAATGAAGCATAGTTCACATAATGTAATTAATTACGGACCATCATTTTACTATACAATATTATCAAAATAATTAGATTTTATTATGTCAATAAAACCTTGAAAACTTAACACACACATGCACAGAACACACATATTACTCACTTGAGCATTAAATAATAATTTTTAAATTATAAAACTAGCTTTTTTATATCGCATTGGTGTGCAATGACATAATATCCTAAATGGTTTCCTATACGTGCGCATTTTCAAAATCTTTGATCAAACCGCGAATATATTCGTGAGTTTATGACATTCTATTATTTGACAAATTGTATATCATTATACTATATATACATATGATTTTATATCGCATTATAACTGCAATATAACTAAAGTCCGAACAGTTCTAAATTTAGAACTTCTAATATTAATATTATACCATTCGCAGTGCGTACACGTTTACGCATATTTATATCTATGTGACCATATACATGCATACATCGTCTACGTAACGTTATCGAAGTATTTTATTATGTCGTTAAAATTCAGATTTCCTAAAGTATACATGGGTATCAACATAAGATATATATTCACGTTAGACACTGCCCCCGCCGTTATAGCCATAATAATAATAATAATAATAATAATAATAATAATAATAATACCGTATAATATATGTAGGTACAAATATATACGTCTACGCGATATATGCATGCGACGATAACCCGACCTAACCCAACGTAAATCTGCATGTCATAGGCGCGAATATGAGTGCTGAGGTCAAAAGCATTCTCTGCAGAGCGAGGACATTGTGTAATTGTTATACGCGCGTAATCGGTCCAAAATATGAATTATTATTTTATTTACTATAGATTATTCAAATTTTAAATGAATAGATGATACGGGATCCGGGGAATGAGAAAACCGCTAAATTACATAATGTGTCTTTTAAGTTTGAAAAACGATTCTGGGCGCAGTACGGTTCGGAGGAAAAAAAATTTGTTCAAAACGAGTACTATACCTAACTCATATACTGCTTATATTATACATATATATATATATTTAATGTCGACGTTGGATTTCGTGGTTTTTCAAAGACATTTCTATGAACGAATAAAAAAATATATATATACCTTTTATAAAATACAATCAGTATTCCATTTTCAATCTATGGATGTGCTGCATGAAACTTTTTGATCAAACGTACTGACCTCGAAAAACACCATTAAAAAAATGTAAAACCAATACTTCACTCAGTACTCACCCCGCTTAAGATCGCGTGTATATAATATATTTTTTATATATGTTTTAAAATTTAATTTATAAAGCACGACAAATCTAAAATATGAACTCATATTTTGTCAACCATCATGTAGAGAAAAAAATTATTTAGCACACACATTTATATTCTGTGAGTGGAAAAATCTTCAACTTACTTCTTTGGGGACGCAATTTACCGATTCCGCAACTTATATGTGTCGGTTCCGGTTACACGGTTCTTCAGATAGTTTCGGTATAATAATGGTTCTTTTCGGGTCACTTCCGGTGAACTAGTGCAACTAGGACAAAGTTAAAAATTAGTACTCCTAAAAATTCAAACTACAGTCGGATTTCTGAATATTTCTTTAATTTTAAATTTTGTTCTTAAATAATTAGTATTGGTCGTTGTCCGATATTACCTAGTTCTAAAAAAAAAATTAAAAGTTATTATGAGTGAACGGAGCCACTGTGGTGTAGCAAAATTGTCTATCTAACACGCCGTGTTACCGTGAAAATAATAATACATAATATTATTGTATTGCTGAATGGTATGGTAATCTACTATACGGTGGTTTAAAAACACGTTTTAAAATAAATCAAAGATAAATCAATGGATATTTAAACGACGCTACGTACTAATTATATATCGAGGGTGAATTTAAGTGCATGTTTCAACATTTTTTGTAATCCTACGAATCCCGAACACCACACGCCTCGATCTGTTTAATATTTTATCGTGTAATTGTACTGAAATATCTATGCTAATGTCGTATATAACATTGTACTGATGAACACTTTCCGTTTTTCTCGCAGGTAACATGTTCGAATGCGACTGCAGTCTGCTGTGGATGAACCGACTGGCCCTCGAGACGACCAACGATCAGGTGGCACGCGAGCTGGCGACCGCCCAGTGTCAGATGAACGACACGGCCGACAGCGACGGCGGCGGCGACTTGGCCGATTTGAAAGTGGCGGGCCCGCGGAACGTTTACGGCGGCGGCGACGGCGGCTACGGCGCGAACCAGGTGGACGCCGAGACGCCGGCAGACAAGGCGATATCGGTCGGCGGCGCCGGCGGAGGGATCGCGGACGGCGTGGACGGGGGGCTGCCCAAGTCGTTCGACGAACCGCTGGTGGTCACCATCCGCACGTTGAACGAGGACACTTGCCCGGGCAAGGAGCAGCCACTGGTGGACGGGGCGCCGGACGCGGCCCAAAATTCGGATCGCGTGCTCTGGGAGTCGACCAAGTCGGCGGCGGCGGCGGCGGCGGGCTCGGCTCTCCACGCGCCACTGGGTCGGTCGGCCATGCCCGTCCTCGCCGTGGTCTTCGCCGTCGTCAGTTCGCGTCGCTGTTAGGCCAACAACTATTCACGTCCTCTCGCGCCATCATATTATTATTGTATTATGTTTATTACTATAATAATATAATGTTACGTACTTACATTTTGTTATAAGGTATGTGTGTCTGTGTGCGTGTGAGTGTACGGGGTGGCCAAACGTCAAACGCGAAATGTGCGTAAACGCCATCGACACGATAAAATAAAATAATGTCATATAAAAACGATCGCGATGCCTACGGACGTACCTCGCCTACAAAATAATATGTCCACCGTCGCTGTTTACGGCCCCGTGGTAAAATTATAGTAACGTTGTATTTTCCTTCGCTATTTTCAAACAAATCGGCGGCATCGGCGCGGTTTCCAAATCGCTCGAAATGTTGCACAATTATCCGCGATATTATATAGGTACCACGCAATCCTCGTGTTTGCAAGTACGTCGCTGAAAATGCATTTTTTTCAATATAAAACATCGGCTCCGTCGTAACACGCTGCATTATAATATTACATAGGCACACCTATACTCACGAAAACAATACCATATTATCATACAGGCGTAGGTACCGTCGTACACGAATTTATTGTTTATTTTCGTACTCAGTTCGCGATTTTTAAGCGCACGGTTTGAAGAAAAATGCATGCCATGAATTGCACTGTAACAAATCGTAACGATTATTAAAATAATATAATAAAATATAAACATTTAATATTAAAGCTGTATAATATTATGAACAATTTAAAAAATGATAAGATAGTAATATTAAGGGACGCGGCCCCAATTCGAATAAAATATATAGAACGAGTCGACGGAATGTATAAACAAAAGAAGCGAGACGTGCGGCCACCCGAAATATTATACATTAACATATTATGTAGTTTATATAATATTTATATTCATAGATTTAGATATTAAACCTAGATGTGAGCATATACATAGTAATAATGAAAACCAAAATTACTTTTATTATTCATCGTGTTATCGCATAATAATAATATTCTTTCGTCACTATAATATTATATTATTGTCTGCAGTTTTTGCAAAATACGCATAATATATTTTTAGTATTATTGCAACAGTAAGATTATAATATTTTAGTCGTTAATTATTTCTTTCGATCCATATTATTGTACTCAAATTTAATAACGTGCTGTAGAATTATTGTGTATAATAATATTGAAATTGTATTAAATGATGATTCATGTGCCGAAACACAATGACCGATGACGGTACAAACATCAAAAACGTCTAACGCAGAGGTTGCAGCCGATAGTCGCCGACAAACAAAAATTAAAATAAGTAAAAGTGAAATCTAAAAACACTGTAAAAAAATCTACGTATATAGGTATTGACTACGATAAGCGATATAATCTAACGCGTCTGTCGGCGGTCGTGGAACTGTGGAAGTCGTTTGTAATAATAATATCATTACACGGCCCCGTTAACATAATATCATACTCGATCCGGAAGGCGGGTGATAAGAAAAAAATTGTATTTTTTCTAGAAACGGAGTTATCATATTTCCCGGGGGTCTGGAACGAAATCGCGTGTTAATATATAGTGTACGAGCATGAAAGCTGTTGTATTATATTATACACCTCTTGTTATCGGTTTTTTTCCCCCGTCAAAACCCAAGAATGGACCGCCTTCCGCCGACCGCACTGCAATATCCTTCGAGCGCGACTAAAAATAATATAAGCAACAATAATAATATAATACGAACTAGCGAATTCGAAGCGATTCGAGAATGAAGAAACATCAAATCATAATATTATACGGCACGTGAGCGCATATCACATGTAATATCATAATTACATGTATATGCACCTGCAGTAGGGCAACCGGGGCTATGCTTTGATGAGGAGGTGGAGGGGCTGATCATTTTTTTACACAGAGGACGCTTGTCTAGGACAGGGTCGGTAAGCTGATGCCATATACCATTTTATTATTATTCATATTTCAATATAAGATTTTAGACGACTTTAGCAGCAACCTTCAATAATTACAAATGGTTAAATTAATTTAGTAAGCGGCCTATACGTCTCGGGCGTACGTTCACAAAACACTGTTATTTATCACTAACAATTTTTTATTTTCCTCGAAATTTCGGGGAGTGCTACAGCCCCTTCAATACTACTGAGTTACGTGCCTTCCGCATATAAAGTCTGACAACGTTTCGAGACATGACAGGATGTGAACATCCGGATCGTCGGAACACCATCACAAACGATGCTCCAACGCCATGTGTGTATCGCCTCAGACGACTATACTATAATATTTATGTATTGGTATACTATTTACTGCAGTACAGCAGTATTGGTATGTGTAAATATATTATTTCTTCGTAAATGATATTATTATTATCACACACATGTGAACGTTTTTAAACATGCAACTGCAGTCGTCGAGATGTAATACGCAGTTATTGTATAATATTATATCGTTGCAGTCTGCACGACGTATTACACTCCGTTATATTCCTAATAATATTCTAATACGCGTTTCTCTTCTGCAGCTCTTTTTTTTTTCATTCCCTCCGTCTCTGACAAATCTGTTGTCAAATTATGCACTTTCGCAGTTAGATTTCTGCGGCGATTTTAAGCGTGCAAATCGCATTATATTATTACCTCCATACGTTAAAAAATTGAGTGCCCGATTCGATAATTGCAATTATGTTTTTCGTGAAACTTTTTGCCTTTTTTTAAACTCTTGTTTGTCTTAAATTAATGTTTAAATGTCCGAAATCATGAAACTATTATACAATGGTGGCATGATTACTTAATACAAAAAAAACTAAGGCTCTATAAAATAAAATAATAATTTTTCATAAAAAAAAAAATACGTTATAAATCCATTCCTTCAATTTTAAATGATAAATATACATAAACATATTATTATAATATGTTGTATTATATGCATGTTGTTTAAAATAACATAATATTAAATTTAACGTCCTTTTTTTAATAAACTATATATTATAACAATAATATGTTCGGTAGAAACTAAAACAAATTTGAAATTTAAAAATCCATATTACATGTACTATATTATATATTAAGAAATTATGTTATCTTATGATTTTTTTAAGTTGTGTTTTTATTAGAGATTTGTTCTCATTAACTCACAACTATACATAATAATATATACCTAAATAATATCATCTATTGTTATTATGAATAGATGACTGTATTATTGTATTTTAGACTACCGATATAATATTTTTATGTGTTTAACGCCATTACGCGGACTTATTTGTATATATATTTTTTTCTTCATAATATAGATGTAATATCAGTTATTTATAAGGTTACATATTATACGCCGTATATCGAGTGTAAAAAGTATTATTATATTCTATAATGTTTTATTGATTCACCGACCTAAAGTATTTTATTATTTTGTACTCGTGCATGTGTGTACGAAAAATTAGAACCAAACACCTCGGAATCACTGGAAATTAAAAGCGGAAAATAGAAACGTAACATATATAATATATATACTTTAAGTTAGTGTATTAAGTTTCCAAAACACGTAATGACTATTATTTAACCCATCCTAAAAACTTAATACCTGTTAAAACCAATCTTCGTTTTGTATCAAATAAAAACCGTATTATATATTATGTACATGTTACTTTTCGTGTCCTTACTCTCTACGTATTGAGTGATATTCCTCTAGAAATATTATCCATATACCTACCTATTTCCGGTTGGAAAACAATAAATCATTTATAGCCCCTTAAATGTTAATATGTTGATTGCCACCGATTTTGAGGAGGAGCCGCCTCTGCGTCGTGTTTAATTTAATTATTTAACACGAAATATAGGTATAGCACCTTTGCATAATATAATGGGCTTATATATAATATTATATATATTTTTTTTTTTTACCTGAAGTGCGTTCGGCTGTTACCTACGTTTGGGTAAATATTTGTCTGTCAATCATTTCAGACGATTCCAAACCTCTTGTCATTATATACTTGTTTTGAGAGGGTGTTATACTGTTATTTGACGTGGACAGCTGTAGCCTATAGTATATAGCTACTGTAATAAATATGTGAAGGCTATAAAAAAAAAAAAACAAATGCGTAGGTATAATATTTTATTTTATACCTAAACCTCTCCCTCGCAGTTTCGTATGCCTATATACTTACACAAGGCGAGTTTTTTTTACCAAGTACCTATACGCTAGTTTTTTGTGAAATTTGTCTGCATAGAAGTATAAATGTGTTATCTGTTAGTATACAATTCTAAGAATAGATTCAGCCAAAGAAAAATTGACATGGATAAACACATATTTGAATTGGCACTCTCCACCGTGTGTAGTACACAATATAAATGTATATTACACCAATGCCTTCCTCCAAAAACATATATAGATATAATATGAATATAGAAAAATATTATTATTCAAAATTAATCAAATAAATATTATAACAGGTACCTATTACTATTAAATATAGTAATTTATTATTACATTACAATTCATTCAACGTTAAAATAGCGTTACCATAATACAGGGCGTTTCCAAGGATTCACCCGATTCCGAATTATAGCCTACTAAAATCGGATGAACCATTTTGAAATTTCCTGTACAACAAACTGAATCTACGACTGGTAAAATGAATTCATTATGAAAATATTACTACACCGTTCGATTAAAAGTCATTCGGTTTAAATTCTAGGCACCATCTCACTATTCCTTTGCCCCTAGAGCAGTCTCAGCAATTCCCATAAAAATGCATTATGCCCTGTAATTGAAAAAAATACATTTTACACGATATAATAATATGTTATGAGCAAGACTTAAATTTATTCTTATAAAATTACTTATTCTGATCATAATATTACACTTCAAATTCCTTTCCACTTCAAACCCAACGTTTATTAAGATTACGTACAATAGGTTATAGTTACTTAATTTAGAAGTAAGTACACAACAAGTCGATAAAATAAAAATATATTGTGCACAGATTATATTATACAATATGATGTGCTTTATTTAGAGTGAAATGTTGAATGAAACATTAAACAACTGAAATTCGTTTATGATTATTGAAGTACATAGTAACAATGTAATTGTATCGAAATTGATATAGGTACACTATACGGGATGATTCTTCAAGCACGCTCACCCTTTTTTTCTTCAATTATGCAATACTATTTAAAATCTGATTTTTGAAATTCTTAAATATTAAACTTTTAACTGGAAAACCATTTAAAAATTCGAAAAACCAGATTTTGATTAACTGCGTTATTGAAGAAGCAGACGAACCGAGAAAATTATAGTAGCTTGGTAAGTATAAGTAGAAACAAAATATTTTTCTACAATTGTTATTGCTAACATAATATACCTAAGTATAAAGTTAAAGAGATTGAGATAAATATGGACAAAAAACGGAATTCTCCCAAACACCTAAGTTGGCTATACAACAATAATATAATATAATATCGTACGCCATCGTCTCACTTTTCCCGGCGGCGCGGCGGCATATTTCCCTCGAAACGAGTGTGTTTGAGTCACGCATAATTAAATCTGCTAGAAAATTGGTCATGCACACAAAATGTTTTACACATTTATAAATAATTTAATAAATATAATATTATATAGTTGGATAACCATCGGCGCTACTTCCGTTTATCATATTATACCTAATAATATGGTTTAAGCTCTGAATGCGACGTGAAGATTAACACCGCACGACCGTCGCAATATATCGTCCACGACCGTCGTCGTAGGTACGTTTCGCTTCATGCACACACACTAGAGTATTAAATTGTATATTACATGTACTGTGCACGTGCATACCCATAGGTAATAATTTTTAGAACATTTTTATTTATACCGCCAATTACGAAAATTTATAATCGTATTTAAAGAGACAACTCTGCAACTGCACCGCTCATTAAAACGCATATTACCTACCTACGCTATAGGACGTTTAAGTATTTGTTTTTATTTTTTTTTTTTTTGTGCGATATTATACACGTGCGTGCTATTGTTTCTAATATATTTTGTAAATTATATAGCCCAATAGTTTTTTTTTTATACATGTAACATTCTAAAAGAAAAACTATTGCGCACTATTACAACGGGTATTTAATTTTAGAGATAACTCTAACCGCTGTGCCGTTAATCATTTCGACAATGTCCATACGAATTAAGTGCGATAATGATAATAATATTATGAACGAATGAAAATATCGCTTATCATATTAATCCTCGCCGTTTATCCGTTGACATCGGTAATCGTGTGCGAAAACAATAAACAAACTATTATGATCATCGCATAATATACGGTTAGGTTAGATTGTCGGTTGTTCGGATTATTTTTTATTGTTTTTATGAAAAATTCACTCCGACGCGAAATCTTCGAATAGGTGCGAACACGGCGTTTTTATGAGATTCTTCGAGTTAATATTTTATCGATTTTGTCACTGCGGTGACTATTAATTTTCAATATTCGATCGTTTCGCGATTTTAATTCACGATTCCTTTTTTTAAATTGCACATAATGTATTTCAAAGTATATCTACCGTATAAATAATGTTTACTGCAGTTATTTACTCAGATCATGATAAGGCTCGTATATAGAGTTTGTGACGGATCATTGATTTCCCACCACCTTACTTCGGATAGATACGCGATATCGGGAATCTCCCCGTTGCTCGACAATATATTTCGAATTCCAATTTACCATGTATAGTATATATATTTATTTAATAATGTACATGCTGCGTAATACTGAAATAAGTGCCAAATAATAAAGTTTTACTTCCCCGACACATATAACTACAACAGCTGCAGTTTGACACGTTATAGATACAGAGTAATTCACATGTTCACCACCATATTTTTCCTTTAATAATGAGTTTAATCAAATTCTGTTTTTTTAATTTTTACGCAAATGTAATTCATCATATTTTTCAATTCTTGGGATTTTTACACAATTTTAAAAGCGTACTGGGGAGATACAAAATTATTTGTTTCAAATGAAAACAAACATTATTTTAACTGTGAATAATTGTGAGCCAGATAAATATTTTGAAAACGTTTATGTACCTATATCATAATTCAAATATCTGAGATATTAAAATGCATAATATAGTACGTAAAATCAACATTGTTAACAAAACTATAAAATATTTATACCTTATATTTTATCATATTATCCATAACTAGCTGATCCCGTGCACTTCGTTGTCCGTTAAAAATGTTATCTCTACATAGGAGACTTGATTGTGATAATGCGAGCAGTATATTATCAGGTAGGCAATCTACCTGCGGTAAACGTTGTTTTTCCGTATAAATTATTTCAAATGAATATTTTCGTAAAATAACTCAAAAATCCAAAATTATTGTAATATTGTTAGTGTGTGGGGATGTTGTATACTGGCATATGATTGAAAGAGATATGGAGCACTGTGAACGATGACGGCCTATAAAAATAACAAAATAACCAAATATTCATTTTTTCCTATTCCTCGCCGCATATAAAGTAAATTTGTAAAAATGTATGTGGTTCGTTTGGCATCGATTAGGTTGCCCACAATCCCACTTTGTGTTAAACCTGGACTTTGATTTTGACTGTTGAATTAGATTTTT